TTTTTTTTTTTTTAAGTTTATTTATTTATTTTTGAGAAAGAGAAAGAAAAAACCCCAAGCAGGCTCTGTGCTGTCAGTGCAAAACTCAACACAGGGCTCAGTCTCACAAACCATGAGATCATGACCTGGGCCCAAATCAGGAGTCGGATGTATAACCAACTGTGCCAGCGAGATGCCCCACTCCACCACCAGTTAATTGGATGACCTTTGGAAAATCTTTGTCTTGGGTCTTTGGTTTCCTTTTCTATCAAATGAGGGAAAAGTTGAAAAGCCTTTATGATTGGCACATAGTAGGTGATCAGTATATTTTGTGAAATGCCATCTAGTCTGATTTCTTTTACCTTGAAAAGATAAGGAGTGTCGTATTTAGAAAGATTAGATATATTTTTAATATGCTTTTCTTAACAATTGAAGTGAAAAATTCAAGTGGAATAGTGTAAAGAGCTTCTCTCTTCTAAGAAATAAATGACTAAGTCCCAAAACTCAGGTAATCTGATCTTTTCAAATGTAAAGTCCATGAATGATTTTAATATTTGAAAGAAACTCAACTAATATAAGCAGGGCTAAGTTCATTAGCCATTCTAATTCCACTTTTCATGAAATTTTGGTGTAGCCTTCAGATAGGCTGAGGTTCTTATTTGCCTAGTGATTTGTATTGACAAATTTTTCAGACTAGGAGTAACTAATATAACCCAAAAATCTGTCACCTGGCTTTCTTTTGTAGAAGAAATTTACTTCACAGATCCTTAAGTTTAAAATTGGTTAAAATTAATAAACTCAGTATATGAGTTTAAAGAGGAATGATTTCATAGACGAATTATTCAAAGATTTGTGCTTTCATTTTAGGTAATAGTACTTCCATTTCCACCTTAAGGACTTCCTGTCTTTTGGGTTGTGCGGTGATGCAGGATAACCCAGACTGCCTTGTTCAAGCTCAGGCCATCTCTTGCCTTCAGCAGCTTCATATGTTTGCTCCAAGACATGTCAACCTGTCTAGCTTGGTCAGCTGCCTCTGTGTGAGTATAAAATTTTAAGTGAGTCCTTAGTTTTTTTTCATTGGAAACTTAGATTTATTTTTAATAATTCTCTAGTCTGTGTACAATAGCTGTTTCCTCTCGTTTCTGGTTTTTTTAGTGGGTAGGGCCAAATTTCATGTAATCACATCTCAAACCTCTCATATATTGATTCAGTTTTGTTCTATTAATTTTGAACTTACCATTTGGAATGTTTATTCATTAATCAGTAAACATGTATTGGATGCTCAAATGTCCTGGGTACTGTATAAATGCTATAGGACATGGAAAAAATGTATGTGACATTATTTCAAATAATTATATATAAAGTTCTCTCCACCTCAGATGGGAAAATAACATTTTTCCTTAATATTCTAGTGGCATATGCATCAATATCTGGGTTCTGATAATATGTTTAATAAATAATGCAAGCTAAATGCTAAAAGTTCTGGTAAATGGTTCATAATCATCAATGGTTTTAGGATTTACCTTGAGTATCACCAGTTTCTATCTAAATTTGCCTCAAAAATTGGGTTACATTTGGAATTAAAACTTGACACCATTGCTTTTAAACTATTTCTGCCCCTAGAATGTTTACAACACATTCCCATTAGTAACATGACAGTTGAGAATTATTACTTTAGACAGACCTTTCATTCACAAGCTGAAGGCAGGATATACAGCATTTCAGACCTTGAAAGAACTTCAAATATCATTAAAACCAATCTTCCCCCCCCCCC